CCTTTACTCCACTAGATTTAACTTCAAGACACATAACTTTCTTAAACCTTTACCCCACTAAATTTGACTTCATTGCACTTAAATTCCCAAGAACTTTCTCCCGTAGATTAGACTTCAAAACATTTAATTTATTTATTCCTTTCCTCAAGTATATTTTATTTCAGAAGCCATATAACTCGACTTTGCTTTGTTGTAAAATTATACGTGCCTAGCAAAACTGTTCTGTGTTTTTAAAATGATCCCAAGATCCATACATTTAAATGAATCAGATATCTTCACTCTAACATTTAAATGATACAAATATCTTCACTCTAACATTTAAATGATACAAATATCTTCACTCTAGCATTTAAATGATACAAATATCTTCACTCTAACATTTAAATGATACAAATATCTTCACTCTAACATTTAAATGATACAAATATCTTCACTCTAACATTTAAATGATACAAATATCTTCACTCTAACATTTAAATGATACAAATATCTTCACTCTAACATTGAAATGATACAAATATCTTCACTCTAACATTTAAATGATACAAATATCTTCACTCTAACATTTAAATGATACAAATATCTTCACTCTAGCATTTAAATGATACAAATATCTTCACTCTACCTCTGTGTATCCAAGAATAAAATTGAGTTTTTCAGCGCCAATGAGTAATCTTTAACTGCCTGAGTTGGGCTTGAATACACTATGGCCACCAACATGAGAACCTCTAAAATACAACTCGCCATCTTGTTCTTGATCTAAACAGAAGATACATCTCAATTTTTTGTCGTTTGAACCAGGCTTGTTATTATAGACAAAGTTTATTTTTATTTTTAAATCTAGGCCATTAGTGTGACAAAATTAGTACTACTGAACTTCTAGCTTATTCTCATACAATGTCACAATATTTCAATACGATGCTTACTTAGAATTATTGTATGGAGATAAGGACTGAACGAGCTTACACATCACTTTTATTTCTGAACCAAAAAAAACACAATAACATTACATTTTAACTGATAACACATCTTTACAAGCAACATAATTTGCTTGCCTCTCTTATTGTTACAAGCAGCATAATATGCCTGCCTCTCATATTGTTACTAGCAACATAACATATTTGCCTCTCATATTGTTACTAGCAACTTAAAATATTTGCCTCTCCTATTGTTACAAGCAACATAACGATGGGAGCTTGACTCGCGTATCGTTACAAGCAACAGAATAGTGCATGATTGGCTCGCATATTGCCATAAGCAACATGATTGGCTCGCATATTGTTATAAGGAACCTGATTGGCTCGCATATTGTTATAAGCAACATGATTGGCTCGCATATTGTTATAAGCAACATGATTGGCTCGCATATTGTTATAAGCAACATGATTGGCTCGCATATTGTTATAAGCAACATGATTGGCTCGCATATTCTCACACGCGTTGAAATAAAACTACCATGAGTGCAGTTTTGTATTATACTTGCATATTCGACTACACCAGTTTATCCCTAATGTCTCTCTTTGTCCATACAATTTGAATCTTAAGGTTGCCTTTCAGACTACACAATTCTATACCTAATGTCTATTGGTGCAAACTACACCAGTCTATACATAATGTCTCTCTTGGTGCAAACTACAATAGTCTATAATGTCTATTGGTGCAAACTACACCAGTCTATACCTAATGTCTCTCTAGGTGCAAACTACAATAGTCTATAATGTCTATTGGTGCAAACTACACCAGTCTATACCTAATGTCTCTCTTGGTGCAAACTACAATAGTCTATAATGTCTATTGGTGCAAACTACACCAGTCTATACCTAATGTCTCTCTAGGTGCAAACTACAATAGTCTATAATGTCTATTGGTGCAAACTACACCAGTCTATACCTAATGTCTCTCTTGGTGCAAACTACAATAGTCTATAATGTATATTGGTCCAAACTACACCAGTCTATACCTAATGTCTCTATTGGTGCAAACTACACCAGTCTATAATGTATATTGGTCCAAACTACACCAGTCTATACCCAATGTTTCTCTTGGTACAAACTACACAAGTCTATAATGTATATTGGTCCAAACTACACCAGTCTATACCCAATGTCTCTCTTGGTCCAAACTACACAAGTCTATAATGTATATTGATCCAAACTACACCAGTCTATAATGTATATTGGTCCAAACTACACCAGTCTATAATGTATATTGGTCCAAACAACACCAGTCTATACCTAATGTCTCTCTTGGTCCAAACTACACCAGTCTATAATGTATATTGGTCCAAACTACACCAGTCTATACCCAATGTCTCTCTTGGTCCAAACTACACCAGTCTATAATGTATATTGGTCCAAACTACACCAGTCTATACCTAATGTCTCTCTTGGTCCAAACTACACCAGTCTATACCTAACGTCTCTCGGCCCATACAATTTGAAGTTTAAGATTACCTGTCAATTGCAGCTTTCTAGAGGATCTCAAAATTAAGGCTGGTACTCCGCCTGGTGAATGAAACATTCAAGTTTTGTAGAGACAGACGCCCCTACCCTTTCCATATCCTCAAGGTCAACCCGGACAGCTGTGGTCAACAAATCTTTTAAACCATAACCTACTCGGTTTACTAGTTGAAAACTTACAGAACACAGCGTCACCTTGAAATGGAACCATCTGCTTGTATCCCACCTTATCAAATAATGAAATAAGATGTTAAGAAGCAGGCAAAAGGCATTGAACTCCGTTAAAGAAAAGAAATCTGTACTGATTTCTCAGATAGAGTTTTTTCAAGGCCATGAAACAGCGTGTCAATAACATTCGGAGCCTTTCAATGCAATGGACGGATGTGGTGGGTTGTGAATACTTGCTACAGTCAACAAGTGTTTGATCACTTGCACTTGGTCTGGTCAAAGACTACATGGAACAGGCGACAACTGCGCTACAACTTCATGGGAGGCAATTAAACGAAACACATTTTTTCGTGTACTCTTAACAGATCAAATGTGCCTATGTATTTGTGATTTTTTGCTTGAATAACGGTGTTTGTCCCGTGTTTGTTAATTTGAGCTTTTTGCTGTATACTTGTGTTTGTTACTGTTTGTGCTGTTTGCTTATATGTCACAAATGACCAGTGCTGTACGAGGGAACGATAGACGCAGGTAACGGACAAATATACAATGAGTAAGGGAGGATTCGACTTGGGCATTTAAGGAAAGTTTATGTGAGGGCAGTGAAGACATAGCCTGGGAAGCAAGACGTCATGGGAGGACAATGAAGACATAGCCTGGGAACCCAGCCGGCCAAGGTTACATCAGGTGGTCACTAAGGGACTGTGTGGGGAAAGGGTATCACGAATGAATTAGAGCAGTGGTCGGCAAAGTCACTAGTCAAAAGAACCCAAAAAATCAGCAGCAGGACGATTAAAAAAATTTTGAGAGCCACATTTCTTTTAAGAACCTGTCAAGATCCATGCTTTTTTGAGCCAAAAGCAGATTTGTGGCCGGCAGGCCGAGCCCCACTCAGGTCACTAAAGAGCCGCATGCGGTTCCTGAGCCGGGATTGGTCGACCACTGAGTTAGAGTAATGAGTCTTGTAGTTTGCTGTTATATGTGAGAACGTCCACGCAGACCCTTGGTGTTGTTAGTTTCATTAAGTATCGTGATAGAAAAAGGCCAAACCAGATAGGTATTAATAAGCGAGTAGAGACATGGCATAAGCGTCCGGGGGTAAAGGATCTGATCGTGAAAATGTAACCTCTAGTGATGTAGCAAGCCAATGACCGTGGGATTCTAGTGGTGGGCAGTTGGTCGTACCGAGATGGCTAGATATAAGCCAGAGGTTTGGGGAGACTAGGAGAGTGGCGATAACAGCGGTCGAGAGGGAACAGTCGAGAGAGATTAGGAGACGACAGTTGACCAGTGGAATATAGAAATATTTGAGATGATACAGTTGAAAAGTTTAGGACCAGTCATAGCTATTGAGCTACATAATAGATCAATGGTTCTCAACCTTACTAATGCCGCGACCCTTTAATAAAGTTCCTCATGTTGTGGTGACCCTCTAAACATAAGAATATTTTCGTTATAACCTTCATAAATATGCGTTTTCATATGGTCTTAGGTGACCCCTGTAGAAGGGTTGTTCGACCCCCAAAGGGGTCATGACCAAGAGACTGAGAACCGCTGATATAGACAGTTGACATTAAGGATTACAGACGAGCTTTTTATATTTTAGTAATACCGATATTCTCTCTTATCATCTGGATATGTTGAGTTTGAGTTGCTTGGCTTACATTCAAGTCAACGTTGTGCTTTTGTCTGTCCCAACGCCTAGATACCCACAATATAAATAACAGACTGGAGCGGTCCTGTACTGACCACTACTACATCCACACAGTTTGTGATAAGTCAGGACCGGAGCCCTCCTCCGCAACAACCGTTCTGTGACACTGCACACCTGTGGTTCTTACTGTGTGTGCTGTTTGCTGTAAACATTTGTTTGTTACTGTGTGTGCTGTTTGGTGTAAACTTTTGTTTGTTCCTGTGTGTGCTGTTTGCTGTAAACCTGGTTTCTGTGCATGCTGTTATCTTGTATAGTTATGTTTGTTCAAAAGTGTCGATGCTTATATATCTGTGTCTCTGTGTGTTTGTGTGAGTCTCTGTGTGTTTGTCTTTAAATCTATCTGGACCAAGTAATCTTCCTATAATCAAGTTAATAAACACAAGCAAACTTTATACTACGTGTTTAGTGTTTCAGACATATGGGCAGATAAGCATGCAAGAGAAGCTAGGAACCGCCCCTGATTATCTCACCATGACACTCTGACAGGCCAGTTTCGTGCTCATAAATAACTTGCAATATTCTCACATGAAAATAACAAATGATTGACAATAAAGTACAGAAAATAAATAAGTCAACTAAATAGATTTCATATCAAGCTATTTATATGAATTAATACATTTTTAGATTTCATTTTTTTAATTTTCTGTTTTAAAATTTAAGAACTGCGAATAATGAATCAACATAATTAATGTTTTAAGTTAAAAGTGCTTCATACCTCAAACAGTACCACCTTAAGTACTACCTAAGTGTATTGTTTAATTGGGATCCTAACATTGCTTATATCAAAATGTATATCTCAAAGTTTATGCATTACAGGGACATTTATTGTTGGTGGTGGGAAAATGGTTTACGGTCTGGAGATGTAAGATGCCAGCAAGCGCCCCTTGGAAACCAGAGTTGTAGTCCGTGGTGACCTCGTTGTGAACGTAATCGGACCTGACGTCACGGAAGTTGTCGTTCTGATCCGGTCCACCCACCAGGGCGCCTTGCAACACGTGTGGGTTGGGCGCCGCGGACTCGTACTGCGGCCAGCCGCACGTGGCGGGTTTGTTGGGGCACGACGCCCCTGCGTGGTGGGGTCTCAAGGGGTACTTGCTGCCGTAGCCCACCTCGTAGCTGTAGCAGCCGCCATCGTGATGGTTGTCCCCGAGCATGTAGTTGATCTGTTCAACGGCCCACTTCCGGTACCTCGCGGCATCGATGCCATCCTCGGCGGCAACCAGGGCGATGAAAGCAGAATTACCGGCATAGCTTTAGAAAGAAACGAGGAATGGTTTAAGTATATATCATTGCAATGGCGTGTCATGAATGAAGGAAAACAAGTCATTTGGACAAAATTCACAGGTAAAAATTCCACCAAAAGTCAATCTTGTCAGAATATACCAAAAAACTCCCCTCCCTTCCGGCTGCTGAAAATAAAACACCATCAGTCTATATTTTATTATTGTCTCAAACTATTGAACATTTGTCAAGTTTATATACGACACCCTACTACATGGTGCAGCTACTGACACTTTATTACATAGGCTTACGAGGCCGATCCTGTAAATGATGTAACTGTTCTATATGACGTCCTACTATGAATAATGTTACTGTTTTATTTGACATCCTACTACGAATGATGTTATACTGTTCGATATTACATCCTAATTGTGCCCTCTGAGGCCTGCAATAACTTTGGCCTCACAATCAACACAAAGAAGACTGAGGTGATGTATCAGCCAGCTCCCAGAAAGCCATACGTTGAACCCAACATCATCATCAGCTGAAAGCGTCTCAACCCATTAGATATATTTACTTACTTAGGCAGGACACTCTCCAGATCTGTCGTCATGGATGATGAAATGAAAGGCAGACTAGCAAACAGACTCGCAAAAGCTAGTGAAATATTTGGCAGGCGCCGCAGCAATGTTTGGGACAGGAGAAGTATCAGACGAGAAACGAAGATCAAGGTCTAAAACGCAGCAGTCCTCCCGACATTACTCTACGGATGTGAAACGGGGATAGTCTACCAGCGTCACGCCAAGAAACTAAATTACTTTCACACAACTTGCCTCAGGAAACTCCTCGTCATCAGGTGGCAAGACAAAGTTCCTGACACAGAGGTCCTCGCTAGAGCGAACCTACCTAGTATCTTCACAACCCTGATGCAGTCTCAACTCCGTTGGATGGGACACGTAGCCCGTATGGAAGACCGCCGACTCCCAAAACAGATATTCTTCGGAGAACTCACGATAGGCAAGTGGTCCCAAGGAGGTAAAAAAAAAAGCGTTACAAAGAGTCACTGAAAGCGGCACTAATGGCCTCCAGCATCAAATCAACTCAATGGGTGCAGACAATCCAGGACAGAGACAGGTGGTGAGCAGCTGTTAAGAAGGGGTCTAAATCCCATGTAGCTAAAAGGATAACCACAGCTGAGACACGCATGCTGGCCCGAAAGAGCAACATTATCTCACTGTCTGCAGCAACTATCCCCTGCCCGCGGTGCCAGAGTTTATTCCTAGCAAGGATCAGTCTAGCAGGCCACCTACGAACTCACCGTAACCCAACCTCCCCCTAACCGGATGACTCGATGGACCTAGTCGACTTCGACGGACGAACAACAACAACATGACATCCTACAACGAATAATGTCACTGTTCTATATGACATCATAATACGAATGATCTTACTTATCTGCTTATCTAGTATCTATGTGTCTGAAAATCCCACTTAATAAATTAGTTTCATGTGAATTTTTTTCTGTAACTTTCTTTCTGTGAATTTTTTCTGTAACTTTCTTTCTGTGACTTTTTTTTTGTACCTTTCTCTCTGTGACTTTTTTCTGCAGCTTTCAATCTGTGACTTTTTTCTGCAACTTTCCATCTGTGACTTTTTTCTGTAACTTTCCATCTGTGACTTTTTTCTGCAACTTTCCATCTGTGACTTTTTTCTGTAACTTTCTTTCTGTGACTTTTTTCTGTAACTTGCCATCTGTGACTTTTTTCTGCAGCTTTCAATCTGTGACTTTTTTCTGCAACTTTCCATCTGTGACTTTTTTCTGTAACTTTCCATCTGTGACTTTTTTCTGCAACTTTCCATCTGTGACTTTTTTCTGTAACTTTCTTTCTGTGACTTTTTTCTGTAACTTGCCATCTGTGACTTTTTTTCTGTAACTTTCCATCTGTGACTTTTTTCTGTAACTTTCTTTCTGTGACTTTTTTCTGTAACTTGCCATCTGTGACTTTTTTCTGCAGCTTTCAATCTGTGACTTTTTTCTGCAACTTTCCATCTGTGACTTTTTTCTGTAACTTTCCATCTGTGACTTTTTTCTGCAACTTTCCATCTGTGACTTTTTTCTGTAACTTTCTTTCTGTGACTTTTTTCTGTAACTTGCCATCTGTGACTTTTTTTCTGTAACTTTCCATCTGTGACTTTTTTCTGTAACTTTCTTTCTGTGACTTTTTTCTGTAACTTGCCATCTGTGACTTTTTTCTGCAGCTTTCAATCTGTGACTTTTTTCTGCAACTTTCCATCTGTGACTTTTTTCTGCAACTTTCCATCTGTGACTTTTTTCTGCAACTTTCCATCTGTGACTTTTTTCTGCAACTTTCCATCTGTGACTTTTTTCTGAAACTTGCCATCTGTGACTTTTTTCTGCAACTTTCCATCTGTGACTTTTTTCTGTAACTTTCTTTCTGTGACTTTTTTCAAGTAATTTTCTTTCTGTGCCTTTTTTTTTTGTACCTTTCTATCTGTGACTTTTTTCTGCAGCTTTCAATCTGTGACTTTTTTCTGCAGCTTTCAATCTGTGACTTTTTTCTGCAACTTTCCATCTGTGACTTTTTCCTGTAACTTTCCATCTGTGACTTTTTTCTGCAACTTTCCATCTGTGACTTTTTTCTGCAACTTTCCATCTGTGACTTTTTTCTGTAACTTTCTTTCTGTGACTTTTTTCTGTAAATTTCTTTCGGTGAATTTTTAATGTAACTTTTTTACTGTGACTTTTTTGTAACTTTATTTCAGTGACTTTTTTCTGCAACTTTCCATCTGTGGCTTTTTTTCTGTAACTTTCTTTTTGTGACTTTTTTCTGTAACTTTTGATTTGTGACTTTTTTCTGTAACTTTCTTTATGTGACTTTTTTCTTTAACTTTCTATCTGTGACTGTTTTTCTGTAACTTTCTTTTTAGGATTTGTTTTCTGTGCCTTTCTTTTTGTGACTTTTTTCTGTAACTTTCTTTCTGTGACTTTTTTCTGTAACATTCTATCTGTGACTTTTTTCTGTAACTTTCTTTCAGTGACTTTTTTCTGCACCTTTCTATCTGTGACTTTTTTCTGTACCTTTCTATCTGTGAATTTTTCTGTAATTTTATATCAGTCACATTTGTTCTGTAACTTTCTTTTTTTTGACTTTTTTCTGTACTTTTCTATCTGTGATTTTTTTCTGTATCTTTCTATCTGTGATTTTTTTTTCTTTAACTTTCTATCTGTGACTGTTTTTCTGTAACTTTCTTTTTAAGATTTGTTTTCTGTGCCTTTCTTTTTGTGACTTTTTTCTGTAACTTTCTTTCTGTGACTTTTTTCTGTAACATTCTATCTGTTACTTGTTTCTGTACCTTTCTTTCTGTGACCTTTTTTCTATAGGTTTCTTTTTGTAACATTTTTTTCCGTACCTTTCTATCTGTGACTTTTTCTGTAACTTTCTATCTGTGACTTTTTTCTATAACTTTCTTTCTGTGACTTTTTTTTGTACCTATCTATATGTGACTTTTTTCTGTAACTTTCTTTCTGTGACTTTTTCTGTACCTTTCTATCTGTGACTTTTTTCTGTATATTTTATCTGTGACTTTTTCTATAACTTTCTTTCTGTGACTTTTTTTTGTACCTATCTATATGTGACTTTTTTCTGTAACTTTCTTTTTGTGACTTTTTCTGTAACTTTCTTTCTGTGACTTTTTGTAATTTTCTTTCTGTGACTTTTTTCTGTAACTTTCTTTCAGTGACTTTTTTCTGTACCTTTCTATCTGTGACTTTTTTTCTGTACCTTTCTATCTGTGACTTTTTTCTGTAATTTTTTATCTGTGACTTTTTCTATAACTTTCTTTCTGTGACTTTTTTTCTGTAACTTTCTATCTGTGACTTTTTTTCTGTAACTTTCTATCTGTGACTTTTTTCTGTAACTTTCTATCTGTGACTTTTTTTCTGTAACTTTCTATCTGTGACTTTTTTCTGTAACTTTCTATCTGTGACTTTTTTCTGTAATTTTTTATCTGTGACTTTTTCTATAACTTTCTATCTGTGACTTTTTTTCTGTAACTTTCTATCTGTGACTTTTTTCTGTAATTTTTTATCTGTGACTTTTTCTATAACTTTCTTTCTGTGACTTTTTTCTGTAACTTTCTATCTGTGACTTTTTCTGTAACTTTATATCAGTCACATTTGTTCTGTAACTTTCTTTTTTGTGACTTTTTCTATACCTTTCTATCTGTGATTTTTTTTCTGGATCTTTCTATCTGTGATTTTGTTTCTGTATCTTTCTATCTGTGTTTTTTTTGCTGTAACTTTCTATGTGTGACTGTTTTTCTGTAACTTTCTTTTTAAGATTTTTTTTCTTTACCTCTCTTTTTGTCACTTTTTTCTGTAACTTTCTTTCTGTGACTTTTTTCTGTAACATTCTATCTGTGACTTTTTTCTGTAACATTCTATCTGTGACTTTTTTCTGTAATTTTATTTCTGTGACTTTTTTTCTGTACCTTTCTATCTGTGACTTTTTTCTGTAATTTTTTATCTGTGACTTTTTCTATAACTTTCTTTCTGTGACTTTTTTTCTGTAACTTTCTATCTGTGACTTTTCTGTAATTTTATTTCTGTGGCTTTTTTCTGTACCTTTCTTTCTGTGACTTTTTCTGTAACTTTCTATCTGTGACTTGTTTCTGTAACTTTCTTTCTGTGACTTTTTCTGTAACTTTCTATCTGTGACCTTTTTTCTTAAGGTTTCTTTTTGTAACATTTTTTTCTGTACCTTTCTATCTGTGACTCTTTTCCGTACCTTTCTATCTGTGACTTTTTCTGTAACTTTCTATCTGTGACTTGTTTCTGTAACTTTCTATCTGTGACTTTTTCTTCAGCTAACCGTCCGACTCAGCTGACCAAACCTCCTGAAGACACCGTGGACAACAATGGCGTGTGATTACCTGACTACAGGTTGGTGCCTCCCAAAAAAAAAAAAAGACCACACTACTGTGCATGATTACATTACCACTGCTTATACCACTCTGACGCACACACACGTTTCCTTTATAATTTCTCTTGTTACACGCTCACCCCACACACACAACTAAATTAAATTGACTTCATTACTATGGAGATAAGTCTCAAACTTACCTGTTTGAGCCCCATTCGTGCCTCATCTTATATTAACCTGTTGGAGCCCCATTTGTCCCTCATCTCATACTAACCTGTTGGAGCCCCATTTCTCCCTCATCTCATACCAACCTGTTGGAGCCCCATTTGTCCCTCCAGGCCAATCCACACGGTGTGTAGGCCACCCCACCTCCTGGCATCCAGTCATGGAAGTAGGCCACCACTGGGGCCCTGTACTGGTTGTCCTTGGTCTCCTCGAACAG